GCTGAGGGAGTGCCGCAGTGTCGGAGGGTCAGTGCTGAGGGAGTGCCACCCTGTCGGAGGGTCAGTGCTGAGGGATCGCTGCACAGTCGGAGGGTCAGTGCTGAGGAAGTGATGCACTGTCGGAGGGTCAGTGCTGAGGGAGCGCCGCACTGTCGGAGGGTCAATGCTGAGGGAGTGACGCATTGTCGGAGGGTTAGTACTGAGTGAGTACCGCACTTTTGGAAGGTAGGTGCTGTACTGTTGGAGATGTTACCTTTGGGTGAAGCCTTAACCCTTGGCCCTCACTGTTGAACATAAAAGATTTTGCAGAACCGTTTTAAAATGTGCAAGATCGCGTGCTGATTCGGTATACAGTATATAACCGTTATACAGTGTAAAACATTGCTTCCCCTTTACGTTTGTATTCTCGCAAATTGTCTTGATGGATGCAAAGTGAAAACCTTCATCAAAAATGTGCCTTTTTATAGCATTACTCAAGTTCTGCCCTACCTGATGACATTTATGATCACTGTTTCCTGATCGATAGCTCTAACAGGCCTCCTCTCTCTGCCACATCTCTCCGAAGGCATTGTCACTTCCACACGCAGACAGCCTGACCTACTCTTACTGTGTCTCCATTTGCTAACAGGTACAATGGACTCTCTCTGCCTCAGTACTACCATCCGGAGAAAGATGATGAGACCCCCTTTATCTGCTCTCTGTCTGGAGACAATGGCATCATGGGCTGCGACGAGATCCCAGCCTTGAGGGACAACGGGCATGAGTGTTGCCTGGACAAGGACGATTATTATTATTACGCTGCTCTGGGACAGGAGCTGAACGTCACCGGGGGCTGTGTGAACTGGAACCGCTATTACACAGTGTGCCAGACTGGGGACAGAAACCCCCACAAAGGTGCCATCAACTTTGACAACATCGGCTATGCATGGATTGTGATCTTTCAGGTGTGTGTTCAATGAATCTACTGGATGACCTGAGTGCAATCATGAATCCCTCATGACAATGACCACCCAATGGTTGGAGTTCACCTCCAATGTTGCTGATTTATCATGTTATTAACACTTATCTAAAATGAGCTGCCAGAGGAAGTGGTGGAGGCTGGTACAATTACAACATTTAAAAGGTATCTGGATGGGTACATGAATAGGAAGGGTTTAGAGGAATATGGGCCAAATGCTGGCAAATGGGACTAGAATAATTTAGGATATCAGGTCGACATGGACATGTTGGACTGAAGGGTCTGTTTCTGTGCTGTACATGTCTATGGCTATGACTCTATGACTTAGTCTCAACTTTCCCTCAATTAGAGTCATACAGCACTGAAGAGACCCTGAGTCTGTTCTGTCGTATCTGCAATATTCCTACTTTCCAGCAATGGGTCCAAAGCCTTGAATATTATATTTCAAGTGCTCACCCAAGTACCTTCTGAAAACTGAAAAATTTTCTATTGAAACTGTCATACCAAATGACTCAATGTTCAACAAACTGCTTCTTTGATACTCAAGAGAGACTATCCTGCTCCATTCCGGCACAAATAAGAGGTTTCTTTTGAGAAGCAACATTTTGGATATCCAACATCAAAGTAACGTGTGACACAAGGTGTGGTCAATGGACCAAGTTTGGGAGGAACAACTCATTTTCGACCTATGGCTCTCACAGCTCTCCACCGACTGGGTATCCCCCAAACCTATAATCCATACCACATGAACCATTCGTCATTCACGTATGGAGGAATCTGGGCATTTAATCAATTATTTTTCTTCATCTCTTCATGAGATGTAGACATCTCTGGTAAGGCCAACATTTATTACTCATTCCCATTTGTCCTTTGAACTCAGTGGCTCACTGGAGTAATTTCAGAAGGCAGCCGAGAGTCAATCATATTGCTGTGGGTGTGGAATCACATGTAGGCCAGACCAAGTTAGGACAATAAGATATTGGAGCAGAATTACACCATTTGGCCTGTTGAGTCTGCTCCACCATTTGATCACGGCTGATATGTTTCTCAGTCCCATTCTCCTGCCTGCTCCCTGTAACCTTTGATCCCCTCAATAATCAAGAACCTAACTATCTCAGTCTTAAATACACTCAATGACTTGGCCTCCACAGCCCTCTGTGACAATGAGTTCCACGGATTCACTACTTTCTGACTGAAGAAATTCCTCCTCATCTCTGTTGTAAAGGGTTGTCCCTTCACTCTGAGGCTGTGTCCTTGGGTCCTAGGCTCTCCTATTATCTTCTCCACATCCATTCTATCCAGGCCTCTCAGTATTCCATAAGTTTCAATCAGATCCCTCCTCATCCCTCTAAACTCCATTGATTACAGACCCACAATCCTCACCCCCACATCATATGACAAGGGGAGGCATTGACTTAGTGCTGTTATCACTAGACTGTTAATCCAGAGACCCAAATAATGTTCCAGGGATCTGGATTCGAATCCCGCCACAGCAGATGGTGGAATTTGAATTCAATTAAATATCTGGAATTAAGAATCTAATGATGACTATGAGTCCATTGTCAATTGTCAGAAAAACCCATCTGGTTCACTAATGTCCTTTCGGGAAGGAAACTGCCATCCTTACCTGGTCTGGCCCACATGTGATTCCAGACCCACAGTGATGTGGTTGGCTCTAAACTGCCCTCTGGGCAACTAGGGATGGGCAATAAATGCTGCCTAGCCAGTGATGCCCTCATCCCGTGAATGAATAAAGAAAAAGAAAACCTTCCTCCCCAGGATCATTTCTGAGTAATTCCTCTGGACTCCCTATAGCAGCAGCAGTAGATTTCCTTCCCAAAGGAGATTAGTGAGCCAGGTGAGTTTAAACAACAAATGATGTTGGTTGCCATAGTCACCATCCCTGAGACAAGTTTTTATTCCACATTTAATAATTGAATTCAAATGTTACCATTTGCCATAATGGAAATTGAACTTGCATGTAAGGACGTGTGAATTAATAGCAGAAGCAGGCCATTCTGTCCCTTCAGCCTTGGTAAGCTATTCAGTAAGATTATACCTCATCTGTTTGTGTTTTGAATTGCATGTTCCCTGATAACCCTTGATCCTCTGTTGAACAAGGATCTATCCACCTTCACCTTGAAAATATTCAATGACCCTGCTTCCAAAGTCGCAAAACCCTCAGAGAGAAAAGAATTTTCCTCATCTCTGCCCAAATAGGGTGACTCATGGTTTTTTTGAGAGATGGCCCAATGTCCCCACAGCATTTGGTTCCTGCTGACCCTCTGTAGTATCTGTCCTGTGACATGACCACTACACTTGGTCTGCCCCGTCTCAATCCATAGAATCACAGAATCCCTACAGAGGATCCTACAGTGGCCCATCAAGTCCACACCAACCCTCCGAACGGCATCCCAACCAGACCCACCCCCATACCCAATTCCTGTAACCCTGCAGTTCCCATGGCTAACCCACCTAGCCTGTACATCCCTGGGCATTATTGACAATTAGTACGGCCAATCCACTTTACCTGCACATCTTCGTGCAAACTTTACGCAGACAGTCACCCGAGGCTGGAATCGAATCCAGGTCCCTGGCACTGGGAGGCAGCAGTGCTAACCACTGAGCCACTGCGCTGCCCAAGATGTCTGTCCATTACTCCATTACCTCATCATTCTGCTTCTCATTGCTGCCATAGACAAATCTCAGGCAGTTGGGGACATTTTATTTGAAGTGATTTTCCCTGTATGTGAAGCTGAACTATTGGGCCTTGTGAATCTGCAGTGCTGCCCCTCTCCTTGTTTCTATGTTTCCTCCATCAACCCTGCAATAAAACTGCAGCTTCTGTAAGAGTTGATCTCTCTGTACGTCTGTGCCACAATTGGAACCAGGAGGAGTTTTGCTCTGTGTGTCATTGTAGGTGGGTTTATAATGGGAGTTAATGGTTTGTCTGATGTTCATTTGCCAGGTTATAACACTGGAAGGTTGGGTCGAGATCATGTACTATGTAATGGATGCACACTCTTTCTACAATTTCATTTACTTCATCTTGCTTATTATCGTAAGTATCTTGGCTGCAAGTCTCCTGCTGTGGTGCGGTGTCTATTTTGAGTCATTTTGCTAATGGTTCCTTTCTGTAGTGTTTCACCTCCTGACCTCAGCTACAATGCTGGAGAAAGTTCCAGCTGCCAACAACAACAACTTGCATTTATAAAACACCTCTGGCATGTCAGTTATCCCAAGGCATCACACAGGAATGTTATCAAATCAAATCTGACACACCGATTTTAGAGCAGGAGCAAAAGCAGGGTTTCAGGAGGGGGAGAGAGAGAGAGTCTGAGATTAATGGAGTGGGTTCCAGAGCTCGGAACCCAGGCAGTTGAAGGCACAGACACCATCAGATGTGATGAAGGGCCAGAATTGAAAGTAAACAGAGTGCTCAGAGATTGTGGGGGCTGGAGGAGATTACAGATATAGGGAGAGGGAAGACTCAGAGATTTCAAAACAGGGATGAAAATTTTAAACTTAAGGCATTGGCTGGGATCCAAACCTGAGGTGTCAGTTGGATATAAATTATTTCATACTCCAATCTGAAGAAAAGCAGTGAATGTCCCTAATGTCCTAGACAACATCGTTCTCCAGACTAAAGCTCTGCAATCTCACACACACACTCCAAACTCTCACACAGTCCAAACTCTCACACACTCCAAACTCACACACACTCCAAACTCACACACACTCTCCAAACTCACACACACTCTCCAAACTACCACATTCTCCAAACTAACACACACACTCTCCAAACTCTCACACACACACTCCAAACTCTCACACACACTCTCCATACTACCACACTCTCCAAACTACCACATTCTCCAAACTACCACACTCTCCAAACTAACACACACACTCTCCAAACTCACACACACACTCTCCAAACTAACACACACTCTCCAAACTAACACACACACTCTCCAAACTAACACACTCTCCAAACTAACACACTCTCCAAACTAACACACTCTCCACACTAACACACACACTCTCCAAACTCACATAACATTCTCCAAACTCACACACACTCTCCAAACTCAAACAGCATTCTCCAAACTAACACACACTCTCCAAACTCACACACACACTCCAAACTCACACACACATGCTCCAAAATCATACATTCTGCAAATTAACACACTCTCCAAACCAACACACTCTCCAAACTAACACACACTCCAAACTCATACACACTCTCCGAACTCACACGCACACTCTCCAAACTCACACACACTCTCCAAACTCACACGCACACTCTCCAATCTGACACACTCTCCAATCTGACACATTCTCCAATCTGACAATCTCTCCAACTAACACCACTTGTACACATTTACCTCCTTTTTAAAAACGCTCTCACACCCATTCATTCTCTCACACACCCCCGCTCATTTACACATTTGTTCACACTTACTCACTTGCACACTCATTCATTATCACACACTCACACCCACTCAATCTGTCACACGCTTATGCACAGATGCTTGTAAACTTGCTCGTACACTCACTTACTGTCACTCGCACCCACCCACTCACCCTATCTCTTTCACACAAATGTACATCCCCATGCTCACTTGCAAACTTGCTCACACACTCACTCACTCATGCAAAAACACAATTACATACATTTCCTTTCTCTCTCTCTGGTTCATCACCAAGATTCTCGACAATCCCTTATAAGCAGTTTTCATTCCAGCTGCAGTCCCAGATAAGCACCTTACTGTCCAATCTCATTTCAATGGTGACGAGCTGATTTGTTGAAAGGTGATCCCTCAGATGTTGAGCAACTTTCATATTTCGAGATATTTCTTTGTAGCTTGTCTCTGACTGTGTATCATCTTGTGAAACAGCCCTGGTATCTGGGGAAGAACTGTAGCAGCTTCAAAACTGCTGAAGATGCAAACCAGATCGCTTCAGGCAACAAGCTTCCCAGCTGTGTGCGCATAGCTACCTCCTTCATCTTGCTATGAATGCCTTAGAATTTTATAACAGTCTAACAGGCCATTCAGCCCAACCTTTCAATGCTGGTGTTCGTGTTTGCAAACCAGTTTCATCCTACCCTGTCTCTGGATCCTTCCATTTCTTGCCCCCTCATATGTTTATTCAGCCTTCCCGGAAATATATCGATGCTGTTCATCTCAACACAGCCTGTGTTAGTGATTCCCCATTCTCAACCCACTTTGGTTGAAGACTTTTCTCCTGAACGTCTCTCTGATCCTGCAGCCAGAAGTCACACGACACCAGGTTATAGTCCAACAGGTTTATTTGAACCTGATGAAGGAGCAGCGCTCCGAAAGCTTGTGATTTCAGATAAAACTGTTGGACTATAACCTGGCATTGTGTGGCTTCTGACCTTGTCCACCCCAGTCCGACACCGGCACCTCCACATCACGATCCTGCGGTGCCCGTTGTATCTTGACAGTCTATTTTCCCTCTTATCTCTCCTGTCATTGTGCTGATCTCTGAGGTGCATGCATGGCATGGTTTACTGAATCTGGGCAGCTCAGAAAGAACATTGCTGGCAGCTTCTTGTTTAACTCCTGTCAACAAGTGCAGACATTGTCTGTCATAATAACAGGCCGCCCTCTGGTCAGTCTTCAGCTAGCTTCAAGAGAAAATAGATCATGTCTGCTCATCCTGTCCTGAGAACTATAACTGCATATCTCTGACGTGAAACTGATAAACAGATGAATTCGGAGCAGGAGTAGATCATTCAGCCCATCAGGCTTGCTCCAACATTCAATGAGATCTATTTGAGTTTCAAATCCCATATACCCGTCTACCCCTGATAACCCTCAATCCCTCTGGCTAACAAGAATCTATTTTTTGATGTGATTTTGCATGTAGCACAGGCTGATTTGAGCGTACATTTGCAATGGGTAATAGAACAGAGCGAGGAATACAAATTTATGACTGTAGAGAAGATGCACAAACAGCGAGATCAACATTAGATTTGAAATTTGAGAGGTCTACTCAGAAGTCTAATAACAGCGGGGAAGAAGCTGTTCTTGAACCTTGGTACGTGTGTTTAAGTTTTTGTATCTTTTGCCTGACAGAAGAGGTTGGAAGAGATTATAACCAGGGTGGGAGAGGTCTTTGATGATGTTGGCAGTGAAAAGTGTAGAAAGTTGTCTTGCATGAATGACAGGGCTACGCTCACCACTTTTTGTAATTTCTGGCAGTCCTGGGCAGAACAGTTGCCATACCAAGCCGTGACACATTCAGATAGAATGCTTTCTAAGGTGCACCTATAAAGATTTGTAAGAGTCTATTTGCCTCCATCTTAAAATATTCAATGACCCTCCACCTCCACTGCCTCCTGAGGCAAAGAGTTCCAAAGTTGCTCACCCCCTGAAAGAAAAGAATCCTCCTTATCTCTGTCCCAAAAGGACGGCACCTCATTTTAAAATACTGCCCCCTAGTTCTGGACTGCCCCATCAGAAAAATACATCCTGTCCACGTCTACCTTGTCAAGACCATTCAGGATCTTATACACTTGAATCAGGTCACTTCTTTAAATTCCAGTGGGAACAAGCCCAGTCTGTCCAACCACGCACAACTCACTCACTACATTTGTTCAGTTTTGTAAACCTCCTCTAAACCGCCTCCAGTGCATTTACATTTTTGCTGAAATAAGGAGACCAAAACTGCACCCGGTATTTGAGGTGTGGCCTCCCCAATGCCCTGTATACTAGAAGCATAGCCTTCTTAATTTTACATTCAATTCTTCGTAATAAAGGATCCCATTAACCTTCTTTATCATTAGCTGAACCTGTAGACTAACATTTTGTGAATCATACGCTAGAACGCCCAGATCCCTCTGCACTTTGGAATTCTGCAGCAGTTCTCTATTAAGTGGTCGCTTAATATTAAATAAACTTTTTTATTCTTCCAGCTAAAATGAACACCTTCACATTTTCCCACATTATACTCCATCTGTCAGATATTTGCACATTCACATCAGGCTGCCTCTTTCCTGATTCCTCAGGTCACCTGACCAAGGAGCAGTGCTCTGAAAGCTTGTGATTTCAGATAAAACCTTTTGGACCATAACCTAGTGTCGTGTGACTTATGACTTTGTCCCCCTCCAGTCCAACACCGGCACCTCCACACCATACATATAAAGAGCATCGTAGAGGAGGAGAGAGAGGGTTAGGGAAGGAATTTCTGACCTTAGGGCCCACACAATTGTAGGTGCATCAATGGAGTTAGGGGAAGCCCAAGAGGGCAAAATGAGAGGGAGCAGAGATCTTGGAGATTGGAAGAGGGGGAAATTACAGAGATCAAACACCAGTTGAGACCAAAAAGGAAGCAAATGATGAGTCCAGAGGAGGTGTGAATGGCAGTAGCAGAGTCAATGCCGGCAACTATTGCCTGAGCAGATGGGAAGGGCAGTTGTAATCAAATTTGTTATAGATTCTTAGAATTAAAGAGGTCTACAGCGCAGAAAAAGGCCTTTCGGCCTATCTCATTGGCACTGGTCAAAACACCCCACCTAACTATTCTATTCCAGTCCCAGTGTTAAACTCAAAGTTGATCCTTCAAGGATGTTAAATGTTCAACAGATCAATTGTGCAAACGAAGCAGGTTCAATTGTAACTTTCAATGGGGAATTGGGCAAAGACACAAAGCAGGAAGATTTACGGGGAAAGAACCGAGAGAGTGGGACGATCCAGAGAACTCTTCTGAAGAAAACAATAGAGTCAATATGGGCCAAATAGTGACCGGCAAACAAACTCTTCCCGTGCTACATCATTGTGTGATTTTTATTTAATTGTTTCATGGGATGTGGGCATTATTAGCAAGGCCAGCAATAGTTACTGGAACTGAATGGCTTTCTCAGCCATTTCAGAGAGCAGCACACAGTCAAGCACATTGCTGTGGGCCTGGAGTCACATGTAGGCCAGACCAGGTAAGGGGGTCAGATTTCCTTCCGTAAAGGGCATTAATGAACCAGATTGTTTTTTCCTTAAATTCCTCCATGGGATGTGGGCATCAGTAGCTAGGCCATTAGCTGTTGCCCATTCCAGATTGCCCAGACAGCAGTTAAGAATATTTTATTTTATAGAATCCCTACAGTGTGGAAACAGGCCCTTCGGCCCAACAAGCCCACAAAGCATCCCACCCCACCTGAGCTGCACATCCCTGAACGCTACGGGACAATTTAGCATGGCCAATCCACCCTAACCTGCACATCTTTGGACTGTGGGAGGAAATTGGAGCACCTGGAGGAAACGCACGCAGACACGGGGAGAATGTGCACACTCCACACAGACAGTCACCTGAGGGTGAGATCGAACCCAGGCCCCTGGCGCCGTGAGGCAGCTGTGCTAACCACTGAGCCACTGAGAGACCCTGACCACATTGACCACATTGCCGTGGATCTGGAATCACATGTAAGCCAGACCAGTTAAGGATGGCAGTTTCCTTCCCCCTCGGACATGAATGACCCGGGTGGGTTGTACAACAACCGGTTGGCTCTCAGCTACTCTCTGAATTGGCTGAGGAAGCCATTCATCTCCAGGGCTAGTACAGGCCTCAGCAATGATGGTCACCATCACTGTGTATAGCTTTCAGTTCCAGATTTATCAATGAATGTGAGGTATTCTTGGTGACAGTTGCCGGGGATACCCCATTGACGTCTCTTGCCCTTCCCTTCCTCAGGTAGGTTCGTTCTTCATGATCAACCTGTGCCTGGTTGTCATAGCGACGCAGTTCTCGGAGACGAAGCAGCGAGAGCACCAGCTGATGCAGGAGCAGCGGGCATTGTACCTGTCATCCAGCACAGTGGCAAGTTTCACCGAGCCGGGGGACTGCTATGAGGAGATGTTCCAGTACGTCTGCCACATACTGCGCAAGGCACGGCGCCGCACCCTGGGAATCTACACCAGCTTCCATAGCCGTCGCCAGGGCAACCAAGGACCCTCCAGTCTGGGTGTTTGCCAGAAAGAGTGCGGTAGGTGATGGGGTTGGGTTGGGGGTGGCGGGTGGTGTAGGGAGTTGGGGGGGCGCAGTTATTTAACAAGTGAAACAGTAGCGTGAAGACACATCATTCTGCTCTACAGAAGCAAACTCTCATCAGCGCAGAATAATCCCTGGGCAAGCCCCAACTGATTTCACAGCAAGAATGGCCCTTGCTGTTATAATGTAGGAAACACAGCAGCCAGTTTGCACACAGCAAGATCCCGCTAATACAAACAGATAAATGGATCAGATCACCTGCTCTTTACTGGTGTTGGGAAGCATTTAGTGTTGACTGCAGGACGCGGTGTCCATGTAGCCCTCTGAAACAATTGTTCCAGCATTATAAGCCATCACACGAGGGGGCACACAGTGCGGCGCTCCCTCCTGACCCTCCAACAGTGCGGCGCTCCCTCCTGACCCTCCAACAGTGCGGCGCTCCCTCAGCACTGACCCTCCGAAAGTGCGGCGCTCCCTCCTGACCCTCCAACAGTGCGGCGCTCCCTCAGCACTGACCCTCCGACAGTGCGGCGCTCCCTCCTGACCCTCCGACAGTGCGGCACTCCCTCAGCACTGACCCTCCGACAGTGCGGCACTCCCTC